AATTAAAATATACTAAAACCAATAACATAATATTATTGTCAAGTTGTGTTGTTAAATAAACTACTGCAATTACTATTAAAAAAGATATCACTATAAATATTTTCTTACACTATAAAATATATTAACACGTATTTCAATCTTTATAATATTTAATTTTTGTTTATAATATTCAATTAAAAATGATGAGTATTTCTAAAAACTTTAAAAATTGATTTATTACAAAAACAATTTGCTTTTTGATTTAGTTTAACAATTGAAGTAAAAATAATAATTATTTAAAATAAGTGACTAAAACTTTATAATGTTGTTTTTTTATTAAAAAGGCCCCGTAGCACAGTCGGTAGTGCATCGTACTTATAGAATAGAGATATGCGAGGGTCGCGGGTTCGATCCCCGCCGGGACCATTTTTTATCATCGATATATTAATCTGTTGAAAATCTCAATTCAAAATTCCCTCAACATTTAAATTATAAACAGATAAATAAGAATTATCCTGAACAAATATGATATAAAAGCAGGTCAATATGAAATAATATTTGAGATATAAAAAACTAAAATGGTGAATTGATTAATAAAAATGTCCATTATTTTTGTTTGTAATTATTTAAAACTCGATTATAACTAATTGTGTATCGAGTATCACACAAAATAATCCATTGATTTTGCTTTATCATTGATTCAAAAAATGTGAGATAAAGCGTCGTTATTAAATATTAAAAATAAGAAGCATTTGTGGTCTAAGGGCAGAATTCCACCCTTCCAAGGTGGAGATCTGGGTTCGAGTCCCGGCAAATGCATTTTTATCAAATAAAACAATATATTTTTTTGCGTTTGATAAAGTTGGGTCCAACCGGTTTAATATTATCAACTTAATTTTTGTCTATTCAAATGTACTATTTATTTAATTAGATTAGACTTTCAATTTGTTTTAACACGTCTGAGTTTCCTTTTTTTTCTGTTTTATATGAAAAAATAAAAAAGTTGATGATTTATTTTTTTTGCCGAGTGTAAATAATAAAAAAAGAGGAAACCCCGTTTGAGCTCCTTTGTGGCTTTTTATCCTTGTAATTTTAGTAAAATTGATATTCAAATAATAACAAAAATCACTAAGATATTCGAATTATTGTTATTTTGCACCATCTCCGAGTGTTTTATAACTTGTGGCAATTTTCTAAGACGAAGAACGTTTGTAATAAGCGTTTTGTTGCCACTCAAATTGACATTTCGTCAACTTGATTCACATAAATTCATAGAGTGTTATTATCGTAAATATACATACTAACAATTAAAGTTGATAGTATATCTGTTTATTTTTTTAAACAAGATTAACTTTGACAACTGTCGCTAAAATTAAGTATCTTTATCGCAATATTCAACGTTAAACATATTACTTAATATGA